TCTGACAACGGTTTCTCCTTAAATCAGTCTGAAGCATTAACCCACATTGTTCACGAGTCCAGTAGTCACCGGCTAACAAATGACCCTGTCACTGAGACCAGCATACTACGCTGTGACTGGCCAGCTTTCATCCTGCTATTGGCAAATCTGTAAATCATCTGTCATTTCAGCACTTCAATTACAGAGAACAACAATAATGCACAGCCCCATTTACACCCACATAAAGTGCCAACCCTTCCTGGAAAACAAATTACCGTGCGTGGAGGTCCAGCAACGCAATGAGACCTCCACTTTATGTGGTCCGCAAATTAGAGGTCAATTTTTAAGTGAACAAATTAATCTTTTCCCAGGGGCTTGAGAATACAAATCGCATAATTTGTTAAGTAAGGATGATGTTTTCCGAATAGAATACCATTGGAAAGTGAAATGTATTCCTAATGGAAATGAAAACTGGGTTATACTGATGCTAGTCTCGCTCGCCAAGCTTCTGACTACAGAATGAGATCTCATTCATATGCAGATAATTCTGGCCAATATTTGTTCTCTTAAACGGAAAGAGATTTCTGATTTGACCAACATGTACCAACCAGGGTTTGTTTTGTTTATACATATGTTATGTTTAATGACTGGTTTATCTTGAATGTGCATCATAATAGACATAGAATACATGTGTAAATATTTTCAATATTTTAATGTAAAATATAAAAAAAATTATAATTAATAAAAATAAGATGTTGCAGTGTCAACAGTTGAGAAAAAAATAATGACACCGTGTCATATTTTAGCAGATACAGTCAATATTTACCTTTTACATTTTAAACACGACTTGGTTTTCAGGTAGAATGGTAAAAAAATTTATAACTCTCAAACGTTGCATAAAGCGAGCCAATCACACTAGAGCAGATTTGTCCGATTCAGCGTTTTCGTGAAATATTCATAATAATATGTAGTGAACACTCATGCGGATCAATGATATCATTTTTACTACTCTTTATAGCTTCTGTAAACATGTCTCCAAAATGATAAAATGGTTCCATAAGTTTTTCACATTCCTATTAGCCTAATGGATTGTTACGCTACTCTTAAATTTTTTTAATTTATTTTTTTATGTGACGGTTTATATCTGAAGTCATATTTTGCAAAAGCACACGGTGGCTTCAAGTACTGCTGACTCATGATGCTAGTATATCAATGATGTGTGGTAAACTCCTTCAAAGTTGTTGCTTCTAATGTGACCTGTCCTTTGGTCACCTCCACTTTTCTAAATTTCTCCCTAAATTAATTTTATTCTGCTGAGAATAGCTGGGTTTTCAAAGACAGGGTCACATATAAAGTCTTTTTTTTTTTTTTTCTTTTTTTTTTATATATATAAAAAAATCACCCTTCATAAGGTAAATAACATTTCTGTGAAAATAGAAAATATAACATTGATGCTTTTTATTAATGAGTAAGACCATGTCAAAGAGAAATCATATTGAAATTAATGGTTGAAATCAAACTTTGATGCTTGTTATCTCATAATTAGATGGACTTTAGCCTGGATTTCACAGAGAAGGTCACATATAGCTGCAGCTTGCTAAAGCAGTAATACTATGGCTCATGAAACCACTTTCGAGCACAATAAACCCTTTTGTAGGATATTAAAGTGTGTATTACTCCTAACCCACAAACTATTCTCTGTGGTACCTTAAAAGGATATTTATTCCATATGTTTGTTAGCTTGTGTTGTTGCGTTATGCACCTTTATGGCAGGAACGCTGATATTTGAATGGTTTCCATCGATCATGACTCTCATAATAGGCTGTGGGAAGCACATGAACCCCACAGAGGATGGTGGTAGATGTGTTTGTTCAGATGGGGGGTTGTATGAAGGTCAGAGGCAGCAGGGCTGAACGAACATCAAACTGCTATAACTCCAGGTGGACACACCACATTAAACCCATAGATGATGAGCAGCCAGACTTGACGGTGCTGAGGGGAAGATGTCTCATAAAATGCTTGATTATTACCTTCTGTTCCTTAAGGTCTTACGACGTTTCGGGGGATGTATGAGTGTGTCCCATATGAAAGCTTTGTACTTGCACATGTTGTCTGCTAAAGTAAGTGGTGAGGTTCATTAAGCCTTCTACTTACTTGCATGTAATTTAATATATAATGGTAATTATGTTAATGGTAACGGAATAATAACAAAGATATTATCAGTTATCAATAACAGAACAGATCAATAATTATAAGGATGATGAGAATGTGAATAGTGTCATTGCAGAAAAAAGTATTAATTTCTAAAAAATCTTACTGACCCCAAACTTTTTTCCACACGCAAGCAAATAGGAAAAAGGAATATCACTTTTCTTTTTTTTTCTTCTCTTTTTAATGAAAGTGAACGTTTTGCTGCTGTGACAAGCGTGTCACTGCAACAAAATCGTGAATTCAGTGCAGGCAAATGTGAATCATACCAGACTGCCATCTAATGGACAGATTGCATCACTACTGTTTTCAGCAAACGGGTTTCAGTAATGAGAAGATCTCTCTTCTTTTGAACCTCAAAAGTGTCTGATTTGGAACACTCTACAAAGGTGTCAACACCATGTGCGTGGGTGAATTTTTTCACCCACGCACAGAGCTTGTTGCAGTGCATTATGGGATTGTGTTCTGTGGAGAAGGAACAGTATGCATCTCTTTATCTGGACTCCATGTTTTCTGGATGATGATGACTGCTCAGGATGGTTCTGTGTGTAATGGTCACATAGTAGTAGATTCAGCCAATATAAACTAACACAAATGAACGAGCTTGGCAGAAAAACAGGCACAGGATGGACATCCAGAAAACAGAAATAAACCTCATCCAAATCTGATATTTTAATATTCCAGTCACCTATGGCCATACATCATAGGATTAAAAACATTCAAATATGGAGTTTTGCTCCCTCACGGCTATAAATCTTGATAAAACATGAAGCTAATAAAGCATCTGCTGCTCAACCGGTGCCTTTGATCTGTACAGCAACAGACTTGCTCTGCTTTAAAGCCCACCGGAAGAAATGCCAGTGTTTAGTTATTCATTCACATCTATTCAGTGTTTTGGTACAGCTGGAAACAAACAGGCCATTGTATAAACACCAAAAGCACCAGTTAAATTGTGCCATGTTGTTTTCAGGCCAAGCAAGGACAAAATGAGGGGTGTATAAAATTGATGTCTTGGAGAAAACAGGCAATGATACGACATTTCAAACCGAGTGATTTCTAAAGGAACTTAAGAAATCAAGACTGTGCAGAGCTCTGAAAATTACTCAAGACATTTCCATTATCGAGTCTGTTCAAACTCTCAGGTTTGTTTAATCCGATGTAGATAGTTTTAGGCCTGTCACCGGAGTCATTAATTCAATAGCCCAGGATCACATAAAGAGATTAATCCCATGATGCACTGTTTGTCATTCATGATTATTCCAATCATTTGCATTGAGTGGTTTGATAGCAGACGCCACAAAGAAGCCCGATTAGCATTGGGTATCTTTCTACAAAGTTGCCAGGCAACCAGACATGAAAGTAAAGCTTATGATAGTTGATCATATATCATGATATGATAGTTACACAAATGTTCCTTACCATACATCAACTACTATCAAGCAGAGAAAGGGACAGTCCAACTTTTTTTTTTTTTTTTTTTTAAAAGCCCTTTTAAGGAAACTTTTCAGAGGGTTTTTTTTTTTTTTGGTTTTTTTTTTTTAAAACCTTGTCCCTAATAGTGGACTCGTTGCAGTGCATTATGGGATTGTGTTCTGTGGAGAAGGAACAGTATGCATCTCTTTATCTGGACTCCATGTTTTCTGGATGATGATGACTGCTCAGGATGGTTCTGTGTGTAATGGTCACATAGTAGTAGATTCAGCCAATATAAACTAACACAAATGAACGAGCTTGGCAGAAAAACAGGCACAGGATGGACATCCAGAAAACAGAAATAAACCTCATCCAAATCTGATATTTTAATATTCCAGTCACCTATGGCCATACATCATAGGATTAAAAACATTCAAATATGGAGTTTTGCTCCCTCACGGCTATAAATCTTGATAAAACATGAAGCTAATAAAGCATCTGCTGCTCAACCGGTGCCTTTGATCTGTACAGCAACAGACTTGCTCTGCTTTAAAGCCCACCGGAAGAAATGCCAGTGTTTAGTTATTCATTCACATCTATTCAGTGTTTTGGTACAGCTGGAAACAAACAGGCCATTGTATAAACACCAAAAGCACCAGTTAAATTGTGCCATGTTGTTTTCAGGCCAAGCAAGGACAAAATGAGGGGTGTATAAAATTGATGTCTTGGAGAAAACAGGCAATGATACGACATTTCAAACCGAGTGATTTCTAAAGGAACTTAAGAAATCAAGACTGTGCAGAGCTCTGAAAATTACTCAAGACATTTCCATTATCGAGTCTGTTCAAACTCTCAGGTTTGTTTAATCCGATGTAGATAGTTTTAGGCCTGTCACCGGAGTCATTAATTCAATAGCCCAGGATCACATAAAGAGATTAATCCCATGATGCACTGTTTGTCATTCATGATTATTCCAATCATTTGCATTGAGTGGTTTGATAGCAGACGCCACAAAGAAGCCCGATTAGCATTGGGTATCTTTCTACAAAGTTGCCAGGCAACCAGACATGAAAGTAAAGCTTATGATAGTTGATCATATATCATGATATGATAGTTACACAAATGTTCCTTACCATACATCAACTACTATCAAGCAGAGAAAGGGACAGTCCAACTTTTTTTTTTTTTTTTTTTTTAATAGTCCTTTTAAGGAAACTTTTCAGTAGTGTTTATTTTTTTTTGGTTTTGTTTTTATAAAATCCTGATGCTAATAGTGCAGCTCCTGTGCAAAGAACTATATTTTTAAGACAAGACTAGACCAGTAGATTTTCAATGGCTTTTTGAAAAATACACATCACATATGCTTCCTTTCCTCTTTTTATGTCATGTACTGTATTACAAAAACACTACAAACCACAAAGATTCAGACTATACAGACTGTTTCAGAAATATGAGGTTAGCGTGACACTTCTCACCACAAGATTCTCGAGCTTCCTCTTTGAGGCACAGAATGTAGATTTTGTTAAAGTTAACTGGAATGATGTTCAGGAGGCAATTCACAGGCATCAAAACTGGTGATTTAAAAAAACTTAACAGCTATGCAGTACTTATAAATATTAAAAACACAATACCAAGAAAAAAAATATGAACACGTACAAATCAACAGTGCCAAGTTATGCATTTGAAATTGGCTAGAAATATCGTTTTTGCTTTGTAAATAATACTACAGCTGGATGGTCTTAAACATTTAATCTCACATTTCTTATTCAGCCATTATGACATAATGTGTCCAGAGAAAGGGTTTGGTGTCACTGTTTATTGGAGTCGGACCGGTGCCAGCTCACACTTCTGATACGTGCGAGTACAGAAATTCACAACACATGGCAAACAAGTAAACTAAAAGCGTTAAAACATGAAACATTTAAGCTTTTGTTTTGATGTTGAAGAGAAAAATTATAAGGTTTCACAAACACTCGGCACAATGAGAGCACTATAAAACTGCAGCGGCAACACCAAGGCTCTTGAAGGCAGGAAATGGCCACATCCTGTGGTGGCAGCTGGGTCTTATGGGGAGTTTCCAAAAATCAGCAGCTCAGCTCAGAGTGGAGGCAAAACCACAAGTGACGAGTGCTTGCTTATGTATCAAGTACTTTCAAATATGTCACTTTTCAAAAAAAGTCAGCAATACAAATGCACTTTTTCCTATTTGGGCAGCTGGTACCAAAATAAATTACTTTCTCTTGTACAATTTAATTTTAATCAAGTATCGATATACTGAAACCTACGAAAATATTATTTGATTATTTAAAACCTGTGACCCTCAAGTTAGTCCTTTTATCAATGGTTATCTAAACCTCAAAACCTATTTTAGCATTGTTTTTCAATATAAAATGATTCATCTACAAAACAGAAATAGCAGTAGGTTTGAAATTATGACACTGCATTTCTCTTGGTAGACTATTACTATATATTGCACAGTATATAAAATGTACAGCTGTGTAGCATTGAATTGTAGGCCATCTAGCTACTTGCATTAAGTAAATGGCGACCTTTTCCTTATTTTGCACTTTCAATGCAAACAGCCCATAGATAAATCTGCAGTTCTGTTGCATTTGTCATTGTGCTAAAGTTAATGTACAGAACTCCAGCTGCTTGTGTCCATTTGCAGGGCTGATGGGATACCAGAGGATGTGCCGCAGATCAGCTTGTGGTGAGATCATTGTGAAGACACTCCAAAGTCTCAGCGATTTCGCCCAGCTTGTCTTGAAGCTCTGTGAAAGAGGGTCTTCGGAAAGCCTCTATCTGCATGAGAAACAACAAAAGTCAATGGTAACACATGACTGACTTCCAAAGGGTTTGTTAGTTTTTAGGCATAACTGACAGAGGAAATGTGTGTCCATTTCATATACACTAAAGGTAACAAGGTTACTTACCGGACAGCAGCTGGCTGCCAGCTCCAAAAGACACTCAGGACAATCACTGACCATTTTCCTGAATGCTGACACGTCCAGGCCATAGTCCTGCAACATCCACAATCATATATATTTAAAAAAAATACATTATATATTTAAAGTATACGCTCATTTCATTCTGATACTGCATGTTATATTTTCTGGCATTTCAAAAGCGTCAATAATTCTATTTATATTCACCTGTGTTCTTGGAAGGATTTCTGGGTCTGCTGGGACCCTAGCCAGAATTTCACACAAAACAATTCCAAAAGAGAACACATCCACCTAACGTTACATAAAGCAAAATCAGTAGGTGAGAACTAGAAAATGCTTTAGAACATCGCGTTCATAAGACCACAATCGCGTTCATAAGAGTCATTACCTTGCGGTCGTATGGCTCCCCGCGCAGCATCTCGGGGGCCATCCAAAAAGCAGAACCCACAAGTGAAAGCTTTCTGTCCTTTGCAGGAAGTTCAACCACCTCTCGAGCCAAACCAAAATCAGTGACCAGAGCTTCTCTGCCTCTCGCTGTCACCCTTATTAGACAGTTCTTTGGGAGACACAAACATACACAAAGATGTTTAGATGCAAAATAAGTCTTTTTAGTTTCTGTGCACTATTAGTTAAGTCTCAGTATAATACGGTGAAAGAGTAAAAACGGTAATATTGTCAAATATTATTACAGCCATTACTCCAGTCTCCATTACTCTTAACAATTGAATGCATCCTTAATGAATAAAAAAAAAAATCTAACTGACCTCAAACCTTTAAACAGTACTGTTTATGTAGCTTTATTTTCACTAATAAATAATTGCATGTTATGAATTAATCGTATCTTCCTTTTTAAATAATGAGGTCACATAATTAATTAAAATATAGACATTAAAACATTACATTTTAAATTTTCACAAAAGCATCTTGAGTTACAGCATTATTTTTAAGTGAATGTGCTTTTCTTCACTACCAAAAGAGGGTGGCATAAACTAATAACCAAATAACACCTCCGTATGAAAGACAATTACATTACAGTTTCTAACTAAACAAACCACTAAAGTTTGAAGCTGTGCTGACTGACTTGTTTGTGGACTTTTTGTGTGAATGTAAACTGTGGAAATAAGCTTAATGGCATCTAAATTCAATACAGATAAAGACAAATGATACATACAAGCATAAATAAGATATGACTGCCATTTTGTGGTTTAGTATCTGTAGCATGTCTGTAATGTGCCTGGCGGATGAAGCAGAACTCCCAGGCTCAAATGAAAGACGTTTCTTGTCATCACTGTCTCTGTTTAATTAATTATTTAGCTGACCCTGGACCTCGCCAAAGGGTCTGAACCGCCTACAATTCCTTTCCTCCATCTCGATCAACCCAGGGGTATCAATATGCAATGTTATTATACCTCGCTTTCAGTTTGAATTGTCTCTAGTGATGAACGTGTCATGGCTAGAAACATGCCATTTTGTCGTAAAATTATTGAGGGCGTAATAAAAATGGTCTGTTATTTTAGAAGAAAGGCAAATGAGGAGACACTGAGGCTGACCAGAGTAGGGGGAATCCAGGTACAACCGAGACGTTACATAAGACCAGTGGGACTCTTGGAGCAAAAAGTGCTGATGGATACAACAGTAAGTTGAGTTCTTCATCTGGACTGAATTCGAAACCTCAGCTAAGCCTCCATCCCCAAAACTGACCTATGATTATAGGACTAAGAAAACTCCAAGCACAGCCCTGAGCCTAGAAGGCTCCAAATTTAGAACAGTAACTCGTGCATATGCCAAGTGTTGCAACACCCTCTGGCTGTGCAGCTAATGGGTGGGTTTGAAAAAAAAATGAAAAAGCACTGAGGTTGTTTGATTCAGTATGAGGGGAGAAAAAAAAATCAATGGGGAAAAATATTCATAAAATTATAATTTTAGTAATTTATTTCTAGCAATTATATATGATTATTATAACAAAACACTTTTTTTTTTTTTTTACTTCAGCTACATGCCAAGGCACCATTTCTCAATTTAATTTAGTTTAACCTAATGTACTACAATGACTATGAAAACAGATAATATAAAAACTGAATTACATAAAAAAAAAAAAATTATAATTTTTTTTTTAATTAATAAAAACTATAATAGTATCTCGAATGATATTAAAATAACACTGCTGTTGCCAAACCATAATGAAGTGTGTATATACTTTTTATTTATTTATTTATTTTTTTTACAGATTTTAGACTGTTGATTTCAGATAAACATACATTAAATGTTTTGATCGTATTGGAGAAGATCTTAGATCTGTGACACTTTATGCCATTCAGTGCAGGTATGAACCCTTTAACCCCCTCTAAATTAATGTTCCAAATATTAGTACTGAAAACAATCAATTTTAACAGCTTCTATTTTCTGACACAACTTCCCACATGCATACTAACTTCTATGATAAATGCTATCTTGCAGCGCAGTGGAAACCAATCGATGGTCCCACTAACCGATGTGCTCGACGTCATAGTTGTGTAAATAGTGTGGCTGGCATTTTTTTGTTTGCTCATTGTTCATATCTGAATGGCTGACAAATAGGCAGTGGCACAGAGACGAGGCCTGGCTAAAAACTAAAAGGGGGGTATAGGATCTGCAAGCCTATACACTGTTTGTGCATTTTGCATTTTCAAATGAGATGGGAAGGGTTGGGGGGGGGGGGGGGGGAGTGTGTGTGTGTATGTGACAGACAGAGAAAGACAGAGTGGGAGAGTTTATTTGCATCACAATGGACTGGCCTTGTTGCCTCGCCCTTCAGCCCAGGTTTGGTGAGCACTTGTGTGAATCCTGGCAACCAATGACACTCTCACGCAAGCATCTATGTCTGTATTTCTCAGGGAAACTGTATATAAACCATTTTACACTGCACTTCTCGAAGCGTTACTCAGTTGGGCACAAAAGACGAGTGTGATTGAAAGTCCTGCTGTACCTTAGAGTTCAGATCTCTGTGGTAGATGTTCTTGTAGTGGAGGTAAATCATCCCTCTGGTGATGTCAGAGGCCAGGTCTACTTTCTCCCTCCAGCATAGAGGCACATCTTTCCTGGCCAACAGCTCCTCTAAACATCCTCCACTAACATACTGTCCAGACAAACACAGTCCGTGAGAGAAAGAAACAAACATACACTTTCATCGTTACTGTTAGGTGCAGGGCTCAGCAATAAGGATCTCTCTGGGGCAAATGAAATAAAATAAAAATACTTTACAATATGGTCCCATTTGTTAACATTAGTAAGTGCATTAGATAAGATACAATGAGCAATATATAATAAAGCATTTATTAATCTTTGTTAATGTTACTGAAAATATAATTGTTCATGTTAGTTCACAATGCATTAACTAATGTTAACTTTTGATTTTAATAATGAATTAGCAAATGTTGAAATGAACATTCGCTAATATTAATAAATGCTGTAGAGTTATTATTTATGGTCAGTTTATGTTAACTAATGTAGTTAGCTAATGTTAACAAAGGAAAACTTATTGTAAAGCGTAACAAAAAATAAATAAAATAAAAACAACATAATACTGGTATAAGCTCATTGTTCACCTCTTGGCAGATGAAACAGATGTTTTTAAATGTATTACTCATTTCTACTACTGATTTTAGGCAGATGAATTCATATGCATATATAGATATGCGTGTATATACTGTTGTATTCTGTAACTAATATACAGGAGCATACAGTAATGTTTCAATATCTAACATTTAATTGTGTATATCTATATAAAATATGAACATGTAATTATTTATTGGTAGTAAATTGTTTATCTTTTGCAAAACATAAAATATAAATATTTTCTGACATGTATAAAACATCTTAAAAGAAAGGGGTCATAGGATGCCCATTTTCCACAAGTTGATATGATTCTTTAGGGTCTTAATGAAAAGTCTGTAACATAGTTTGGTTAAAATGTCTCAATGGTAGTGTAAAAAAACACTTTTTTTTTATCCTGTCAAAAACAGCTCTTTTCAGATCAAGCTGTTTTTGTAGCATTTTCATTTAAATGTTAATGAGCTCTGCTGACCCCGCCCCTCTCTTCCGAGCTGCTCTCAGAGAGACTGTTTACTTTAGTTGCATTCATCGTGAAACTTGCTAATTAGCACATTATTAGGAAAGGTGATTTGCAAAGATTCATTACAAAACATTATCCTCACTTCTTCTGTAGATGAGGCTGGATCATGAATGATTCGCGCAAACAGACACATTTATGTATATCGGGGGCGCATTCCCTTCAGAAACAAATGTAATCCACTGCGTCTTCAGCGGCTCAGATGTCGGGAGTAAATGACGACTGCTATTACATCCAACAATAAACACCTCAATCGCTTGGAGTCATTCTTGTCTACATCTGCTCCGACGGTGAAACAATGGCGGACTGATGACAGCTCACTCAGGGCGGGTCTAAGGTAAGACACCAGTCCAGTCTGTGCTGAAACGCTACTGTCAATCAAACTATCGTGGGAGGGGCCTGTCTGTGTGACGTCACACAGACAGGCATCTGAGATCAGCTCGATTTGAGAAAGGGGTAAAGACTTAACCAGATTTTTTTTTTAAAAACCACTGGGTGGATTTTTATCATTATAGGGTGGTTGTGTACACACACTGCCAACACACATTTCAGTTCAAACAACTTGTAAAAGTGCATGTAGCATCCTATGACCCCTTTAAAAGAAAAGCAGAAAAATCCATATGGTTGAGCCCATCAAATGTACAGTTTCAAAACATCACATCAATATGATATTTCAAAAATCGAATTGTACAATATTACAATCTAATGCATAAAATAAACTCAAATTGCAGAAAAAAAACCTTTTGATTTTGAGGCTGAGAAAATGGAGATCTCACCTCCAAAATTGGGTACAACTTGTCCTCTTTGACACAAATACCCAGATACCTGGAAAAAGAGATGTGGTAAGTTATGAGCCGTTCCCTAAATCGGTCTAATTACAGTCCAAAGCCCGTCATTTGTCAAATGCACAGCAACTGAGCAGAAATGGAAAGTTATGCAAATTTGATGTTCAGATGATGTTCAGGCTTTCACTTGTTTAACTAACACATTATTTTAACTAACATAACATTAGAGGACCATGAATTAGTGAAGCAGTGAATATGGATAAACGTAATAGGTCACTGTGTCATGGTGACCTCATGTGGTTTCTGTCACATTCAGCAGTTCGGTTCATGGGTTAACATGAGTATCATCTGTAATGGGGTGATGACAGCTGGCAGTAACTGGAAAGTTTTGATAAATTAACACTGCACAGGCAATTTTGAATATGACTTTGTCCTTCCATAACACACTGGGAAAAAAATCCATTCTGAGATTGCTTAGACAAACACATGTCATAGTGCAAGATTAACAGCCATATAAGAGCTCTGTGCTGGACAGGGCTAAGTGTGACTTGTAACCTGTAACAGTCTTGACAGGATCCATCCAAATCTAGTATGTACATCTCTACAGGCACTTGGAAACACATACTACTCATTCTTCATTATTACTTTTTAACTGTTTTTGAATACTAGTAAGGGCAAAAACCTCTGAAATAACACAAATGGAAGTTTGGAAATGACCAAGAAAAAAAAAAAATTTAAAAATATCTTATATTTTATCTTCTTCAAAGTAGCCTCTATTTGTCTAGATTGCAGCACTGCGCACTCCAGGTATTCACTTAACCAGTTTCATGAGGTGCATCCTGGGATACATTTTAAACACTATCAGACAATTCTGTGATCAAATTCACTAATATCAATGAACGACAACAACAAAAAAGTTTTGCAGAGAAACTGAAACTAATTGCAAACCTTAAAAGAAAATGCTTTAGATTAAAAGGTTTCGAAGATAACCGATTCAGTCTGGTGTGTCCAAACTTTTGACTGGTAGTGTAACCACAGAGTATACATATAAGCCTTAATGAGAATGGAATGTGTAAATAGGCCTGCACATCTATTAGGCATTTAGATAAGGGAGTTTAGATACCTATTAAATAATACAAATATATGACAAATAAACAATAAAAATAAAACAAAATAAGTTAAATGAGTTACAGTATATGGCAAGTTATTATGTAGCATTAATGAGTGAGTTACCTCACTATGTTGGGGTGTGAGAGTTTCTGCAGAAGACTGATTTCTCGTACAATGCTGTCCTGATCAACATCATTCTTATAGATCTTTACTACCATCACCTTCCGTGTGGTATTGTGGATTACCTGAAAATAAATCATATAAAATTACAATAAAATGAAAAACAGAATAGAGAAGAATGGAATGAATCCTAAAGTGGTATTAAAACATTCCTTACTCTCTCTAAAGTACATAAATCACATTAAAAAAAAACTTCCATGTTAATAAACAGGAAGGGAAAGAACTGCTGGGATGGTTGAGCTGCAGTCATCGGTTATGTAATTTACACAGCAGGGACTCACCAGGAGCCCATTAATGGGTGTACTATGGCACAAGGGCCACCTCAATCGGGCTTAGCTGTAAAATATGTCCTAAGTAGGACTACAATACTGCACTGTATGAGTGCCATTAAGATTTCAGACACATACACCACACACTGGGAGACCTTTTACAGAACAATAGGATGATGAAAAGCCATTTCCATTTAGACTGAATTTATCGCACTGCTTCATTTTTTTTATATACAGTATATGATCATTTTACTATAAAACTTTTATGATATAATTATGCAAAAATATTATTTAATCAAATATTTATTGTGAAAGTAATAAAATAAATCAATATGCACATATGAAGTCAACATCTTACATGGCTTTATTTGTTGTGAGAACATTTTCGAACAGCCAATGTGTTAAAGCACCAAGGAGAAAAATCTGTCGAAATTTCTTAGCACTTACTGTACATATATTATTAACTGTATATTTGGATATTATTACTTACAGATTAAAGTCATCAGATTCAAGACATTTTGAATGTTACCTTGTAAACTTTTGAGAAGAAGCCACTGCCAATCAGCTCATGTGTGAAGTTCTCCCAGAATTCTAGCTTGCGGACGGCTGTGCGTAGCCTCTGCCAGCGGTCCACATGGCAGTATGTATCAGAAGACTCTCTATACAGCATCGGGCTGGTGGGCTCAGACGAAACATCCACCTCACACATCTTGGAGATCTCCGCTGAGAACCGAACACACAAAGAGTTGAGAAAACACCAAAGCTTTCCACAAGAAGTGTTTAAAACAATTCAGAGTTAGAATATGATGTTAAAAAGTTACAGAAATTACAGAAAAACACTTTAATAATCCTTTAAATCAAATTCTTTGTAAAATCGTTCATAAAATATTTATCAACCACAAAGCTTTAAACATTAGTAGCTGGTTTCTAAAGGAAGCAGTGTTTATAGAATGAAGCGAAGCTCACAAGTACTCAATTAGCTCAATGAGTAGGAAGGCTCTCGTCTGCCACTACAGGGAATAAAAGTGGCAGAATAAGGATGTCTTAAAATAGTCGTGGACAGCATGCAGGTGAAAGATTGATTGTTCTTGATCGAAACACAAACGAGACATCAACAACTTATAAACAATTAAAGATTAAAACTGCAATTTTTACTGTTGGGACTCATTGAGATATACTGTACAGACACATTTAAAAAGGGTAGTTCACACAAAACTTTAAATTATGTCAACATTTACTCGCCTTGTCATTTCAAACACTTTTCCCCATGGGACAAGAAAGGAAATATTTTGAAGAATGTTCAGACTGATCTTTTCCATAGAGTGAAAGCTTACATTGACCATTCATTTTAACAGCCTATTGCAAGCGGTAGCATGGCTTTTGAACAATGCAATAATCCAATCCAAATTAACCAAGCTTTCTGTGCCCACCTCCATCTGTCAGTGGACAGGTTTGCATTCTCTCCCCACTGCTCTTCTCCCTCTACACCAACAACTGCACTGCAATGGAAGTTTGTAGACGACTCCACACTCCCCCCACTCACCATCATGAACAGCACTGTAGCAACAGTGGAGTTATTCAGGTTCCTGGGCACCACCATCTCTCAGGACCTGAAGTGGGAGTTCCACATAGACTGAGGCCCAGCAGAGGCTGTACTTCCTTCACCAGCTGAGGAAGTTCAACCTGCCACATGAGCTGCTGATACAGTTCTACTCTGCAGTCACTGAATCCATCCTCTGCACTTCTATAACTGTCTGGTTCAGCTCAGCTACCAAATCAGACCTTAGAAGATTGCAGCAGATAGTCCGGGCTGCTGAGTGAATCCCACACTATACCTCTTATTTACATTTCCTTGCATTTGTACATAACACACCTGTACACACAAATACCATCTATTGTCTAATTTGTATATTGTGTTTTTCTTCAAAAAATGTGTTGTATATTGCTATTTCCTATTACTTATTCTACTTTTATTATCTGTGTCTTGTCACTGTCATTCTGTTTGTGCTGTGGAAACTTCTGTCACCATAACAAATTCCTCATACTGTATGTGTAAACATACACCTGCCAATAAAGCTCTTTCTGATTCTGAATGGACCTTTTTCACATTTCCGGGTTTCTCAGCAGCGAAAGTCGTCATAGTTGGGTTAACTTAAAGAGCAGTGAATGGAAGAGTACCACAAATATATTTTTGCATTCCCATTTGCTCAAATAGCAAAAGAAAAACTCCACGATAGTGTTTATGACTTTCAATAAAAGGAAATAAATTGAGAGACAGAAAAGAGAACGATGTCAAATTTAACATCCCTCACATTAGCGTTAAGTTTTTTTGTAATTTGATGCAAAAGTGATATAATACAAAGAATAGTGTTATAAATGTACATACATTTAAAAAAAAAATATAAATATGAAAAACTTTCGAGGATTTACGATGCTGAGGACCGTTAAACGCGTCATCACAGTCTTGTGAAAAGGGTCCATATATTATGGATGGAACCGGTTAAAAATCGATTAAAAATATGTGACGACTCAAGTCGGTTGAAATGTTAATGAATCGCGATACATTTGGGGGTGGGGTTTATATGAATGTATCTCTGAGGGGAACTGACTGTCTTCAGAAAAGTTTAGATGCTATTTTCTTTTCATCTTGCCTCTGTATAACGCATATTAAAGTAGTGTTTATCTGCTTTGTTTACAGTGGTAACCAAGGAAACGCTACATTGCTGCTGTTCCACAAGCGCCACCTACTGTCAGAGTGAATCTGCATTTTCATTCAGCCTATCTGCTGTTTCTGTTTCGTGCAGATGTTTTTATGTAGTATATTTAGTTTCACAAAGCTAAAGTCAGCCTATTCTGTTTTGGCTTCAGATTTCAAAATTATAGTAAGCAATCTAATTTAAATCAAAAACTGCTCTTGCTGCATCTATGAGGATCGTGATTAAAATGCAGTGTTTGCCTCTAATTTTAAATGAAAAGAGCACAGGCAAAGACTTTGTTTATATGAAGAGATCTTTTATTTATTTGATTTGGGATTTGTTTTAAAATGTGCAGCATTTTGTCTGAGAAATAATAAAAGGACACCTTTTCATTTATACTTTATCGTAAATCTAATTTTGTAAAAAAAAAAATCGTGAGAAAATCATATTGTGAATCGCATTGCATCGTGAGTTTATTGAATTGTTACATCCCTACGATATACACTACCATTTAAAAGTTTGGGGTCAGTGAGATTTTTTTTTTTAAAGACAAATACATTTATTTACCAAGACAGCAATAAATTGATCAAAAGTAAAGATATTTATAATGTTTAAAGTAAACATTTCTAAATACCCTTCTTTTGAACTTTCAATTCATCAGATTCCTAAAAAATATTGTACATTTCACAAAAATATTAAGCAACAACACTGATAATAATAAGACATGTTTCCTGAACACCAAAACAGCATACAGTATTAGAATGAATTCTGAAGGATCATGTGGCACTGAAAATAACTAAATTACATTTTAAAATATATATATTTTTTAAACAGTTATTTTAAACTGTAATAATATTTCACAATATTACTGTTTTTTACTGTACTTTTTTTTTTTACTTGAGCACAGGAGACGTCTTTCAAAAACATTTAAAAATCTTACCAACCACAAACATTTGAACAGTAGTGTACTTGTGTATATGGTGGGCGTCTGAAATCTAAACCCACACAGGATATTTGCAACATGGAAAAAACATTGTCACACAATACTGTGGTTTTCTTAAGAGGCTGAGCAGTAAGTTGAAAAACTGCACAAATTCAGCCTCTGGAAAAAAAAATGACCCTACAGCATAACTCTAGTAAAACAGTAATCTTCAACTTTATGTGATGTGTGTCATCACTGTGTAATATCTAATAACCCACAATCTACTGTCAGTTTACGCTTTGTGCAAGTAGTAGCCTGTGTTTGCAACTTAATGCATCAGTTTTTCCATGTTGGGGAGACACTGAGAATAAAGCAGGGCGTTGAAGTCAATAAGGACTTTCATCACAGGCCAATGATGCTACCTGGGAACAGCACAGAGTGGTACGCTTACACAAACCGCCATCACTTAAGCGGGAATCATCTAGCAGTATTCATCATGCGTAGAGCGCACACATGCGCACGTCTTTGTGTTTCCAGCAGCAGATGGACAATCGCAGCCCTTTCAGTTTTACAACCTCACTAAAAAGCAAAATGCTTAGAGTGCAATCCTGACAGGACTCTGTTTCACTCAAAGTCTTTTTCATCTAGTGTTTTCTGTATTCATTTCTAGAACGATAAATAAAAGATTACACGAGGAACCTCCAAAATTCACTCACTGAACGTATTTGAGCATCCTTACAGAGTAACAACTTTCAAAACAACATTTGACCTCCATTGAAGCTTGAGTACATGATACATTTTGAAAACAATAATAATAAATAATAAAAACAGAACTTTGGCATGGTTCTGGTTATTGCACCAAGGTGCAAAATGATGCACCATCCTACAACATGCTGATTTACGAGAAGAAGAAAAAAAAAACCCATGCTGGCCAACAGAGTTGACATCTCAACTAGAGATCAAACATGCAAGCCATTTTAGTTTTAGACAAAACCACAAGTTAACGCTGCAGTGATAAAATTCACCAATGAAAGTGGACTCAACCTCCCACTTACTCTCAGAGGAAACATCTACCTAAGTGGCAGCTGACATCTGGCACTGTAGAGGAGACTCAGGGTTTGTGAAATATGCGGGTCAAAGGGAGACAATGACTAAGTTTACACAGTGCGCAGCACGTCAGAGGATGCCGTCATGAGGCTGCAACCCGACTTCACATGTACACGAGAGGAAATCAACCCTCAACTTTTACAGGAAGACTGACACAACAGTATGCGGAACTAATAAGTAAATAGAAGATATAAATTACTCTGAAATACTATAGATAATTTTTTATTAAAAAAAATTTAATATATATCTCTCATAAAACTTCAAACAAGCAAATAAAATTCTCTTTTATTTTCTGCCTAGTAAATTAACTACAAAAACCACTGGTTAAAACCACTGATTCAGATCTTGTATAAGCACAAATATGAGAATTATTTTTATCTAAAATGTATGATAATGCAGCAGGCAGAAACATGGAGTTCATTCGCATTATTACTCTCCTCTGCAAGGGTCACAGATCTGTTCTTTGCATCAGGTAAACACTCCATAGTTGATGTGACTCACTGATTACGCTGTGAATATCATCAGTTTGTGTTAACAACCCATCAGCCTGCGCCATCTAGAGTTTCATGACAGAACTTGGTATTTAGCTGCCAAGACATTTCTAATTTTCATTTAAAGTTTTCTTCTAATATTTATATTTTATCTCATCTTCATTTCAACTAACAAAAACTGTTTATTTTTATGTTTTAGTTTTAGGATAGAATATAAGTAAAGGTCAATGATTATTATCAATGTTAATGTAAAGTTATAAGTAAAGGTCAGAACCCTTTATTGCTATTGGGCTTCTTTTATAAACTGATAAGAGAAAAGCATTTTAGTACAGGAGTGCAGATCTACCATATTACATTTACAGTTTGACTGCATGTCAGCATCAGCAAGTGAGGAGGAATATAACAGCAAAAGCTATTCTATCTAAGGAGGCAGTAGCCAGAGAAGTGGCATGACACCAAGTCCTGAACATGCTCAGAAAAGTCCAGGTCAGAACATAGATGAGACAGTGATCATCACATGTTCACAAGTCATGAAATTCACACCACTCACACTATAATAGGCATCTGCACGACAAGCATTTGTTGGGGTTTTTTTGCATTCTTTTTATCCACATCATGACAAGTTCTCTCTCTCTCTCCGCACATGGTTTCTCATGTGGCTGCTGGAATTGGTGTGAACTGCAGGGGCAGAAGCTGTAGTCTGCTCCAAACTGGATCTGTTAGAGAAGAGACAGCTTTGGCATCGCTCCAGAGATCTCCCCCTCACATTCTCTCCCACTCTCTTTCTCTACACAAAACAACATTCAGCACAGCGTCATACCACACATCAAAATATCAAAAGTCTTTCCCTTTTCCATCTCTTGCCTGTCTTGTCTTACAGTTTTGGAAGCACTGGTTCCTGCACGTACAAACACAGCATATTGAATTGATCAAATTCACATGCGTGCATGCACAAACTCTATTTTTTTAAGCAATTTAGCTGTGATGGCTAGTTGTAATGAGTTTGTTAAGACTGGAGCCCACCTGTCTGGGAAAAATCGATCAAAGGAACAGCAGGAGAAATCTAGTTTTCTAACAACGACTCTGCAGAGACTGCTTTGTCACAATGATTTGAGCCTAATAGGCTGCAATTGCAAACAGTGACAATATAACTGTGATCCAGTGAAATTAATATCTGCTGAACTCATACATCAGTGATATTTCATGTCAAAGCAAAAGCATGGAAAGGCTCAGCTTCTGTGCAAGTAAAAATAGACATGATGCGGGAAGAATGACTTTGCTTCTTTGCAAAACAGACACTAAAAATATACTAAAACTAAATGACTAGATATCAGATATTCTGAACTCTGATAATTAGATACAGTATATTGAACAGTACTGTAATATTATATATACACTATTGTTTAACAGTTTGGAGTTGGTAAGATTTTTAAAAATGTTTTTTCAATTCAAGTCTCTTATGCTCATTAAGTCTGCATTTATTTGATCAAAAACAGCAATATTTGGAAATATTATTACAATTTAAAACAGCTGTTGTCTATTTAAATATATTTTAACATGTCATTTATTCCTATGATGAAAGCTGAATTTTCAGCATCCATTATTCCAGTATCACATGATCTTTCAGAAATCATTCTCATATGCTGATCTGGTGCTCAAGAAATTATCATTATTATTAATGATTTTTTTTATTATTATTAATTTCTTATTATTATTAATGTTGAAAACCGCTGTGCTGATTCATATTTTTGAGGAAACCATTATACTTTTTTTTCAGGATTCTTTGATAAATAGAATGTTCAAAAGTAAAAGTCTTTATCTTCATCTTGTCGCAATTTAACACACCCATGCTAAATAAAAGTATCATTTTCTTAAAAAAATTACTGAACAGAAACATTTGAACGACAATATATGTGTAATTGCTGCGGTTGCATTTTAAAATCAACCACTGCATATCTGGTTGTAATTTGAGCACCGCTTTTATTTTATCAGAAGGAATCAGTCACTAATCAGATATTTCTTATGCCATGCATGCAACTGGACTTCAAGCACATCTCAATGTTAGATCAACACAAACATCAGGCACTTCCTGAAATCATCTTATCTTCTAAGGTTTTCTTCTTTTTAAATGCACCCTCAACTTTGACATTACATTTTTATGTTTCACAAGTCTGTGCTCAACAAACATCAACATCTATGATGTACTTGTGAAATAGTAAGAAGACAAATACGACAGTATATGTGGAAAAAGGAAGTACTTTTGAGGCTATTATTTTTAGAAAGTCTTATGCTGTTTTATATGAGAGAGACAGGACTGGGCAGTGTCTTTTGGAAGGAGATGGAGGGAGGAAAGCTATGTTTTCCTGTCTCACACCAAAGGGCAGGGAGGATTTCAGCTACGTCAACACGAGGGAACAGACTGAACGACATACACCCTACATGAACAAAACATAGTGGACTAATATCCATCAAGAGGAAAGAGAACACAATACCAGAAACAATAATCATATTTTAACTATGGACTCTGTATGGAACAAACTAAAAACTAATTTAATTTTCCATATTTTTATAGATGGAAATACACAACGACCTTGTCTGAGACAACATCAAAACACTAAATAATATGAACCTAGACCACAAGATCAAGAGCAAATCACTAGATGATCTATGAACATCCATTCCCCATGCTTCTCTTCATGACATGCTCAATGTGAATCCACTAATTTATTCCCAGCCATACTGAGATGAGAAATGTCAAGTGCAGATTCTAAAACCTCTCTAATGAGCCAGACATCTCTTATTCAATTCTAATATCACCTAATGCGTTAAGCAGAGCAAAAGTAACACAGAAAATGTTCTTCGTTACACATGCAGTATAGCAGCATGTCTTTATGGAAATCTAGCTGTTTCATGTAATCGCAAAACATTGATTAATTCCTAAGCATTACTTACTGCACTGGTTTAATAAGTTATTCATGTGCATCTTGAGGTGGGTGGAGGGGCGGTCCGCCTGAGCTCACAACACAGACAAGCTGGGATGAGCCTATATGACAGAAGCAACCATGAACAGAGACACAAACACAGAACTGTAACAATCAGCAAACATTTAAAGACAGCACAATGAACCGACATGACATTTTAATGCAACACAAACTCTGATAAAGTGTAAAAATCGCATTGCACACAAAGAGAGAGAGAGAGCTCTGAAATAGTTTATATCTGTAGCACATAACTGTCACAGCATAATATCAGTCAAAAAATTGTATAATGAAAATGACAGACGGATGAGTGGGTGGATGGATAGAGCGAGATGCGGTTAGTAAGCAGAACTGTTTTAAACATTAAATTCGCATGTGTAATTTACAATTACTTCAGACAAACAAACACAAAAGTATTAGAAAATAATCAAGATGCATAACAACTAGCACCCTATACAATTTTTTCAAAAGTCAATCGCTTACTCACAGCAGAAAGCACCCCGGCGTCTTCACCTCCGCTGCTGATTGATTTGCTCAGCGATCAAATAAAATTGACTACAACCCTGTTTTATACAGTCTATGCTACAACCCCCCCAAAAAAGTTCTAGTCGAAGACAAACCGGTGGCATCGCTTTCTAGCGCGCTTCTTGGAAGGACTCCTCCATTTACCAATCACTCAACCTCACAAACCTCGGCTCACATATAACGAAACCGCCCTCCGTCAGACTGACAGCTTCTCGGTAGTGTTTAGCGGTCTGCCCTAGATCAGAAATACATGTTTAATGGGCTGTGTGTAGTGGGAGCCAGTTGCCATCACGTAATAATAATTACGTTCAGCCCCACCCACCTGTAGGTCCATGGTTGCAAGTGGGATTTGATTCAGTGACTCGATTCTTTTGAATCTTTGACCAAATAGATTTGTTTAGTGGCCATTTGCGTGTTTACAAATTTAAGAGAGAGTTTAAGCATCAGCGTTTCCCTTCAATGGTCAACTCTTGTAAGATAATATACCACACATTTAAGATTTTCAAAGTCTTTATGTTAGTTTAAATTGGTCTCCAGTCATTGTTTAAACATTCATAATTCTTCCCCTCAGGTGTTTTGTTCGTTAAAAAAAAACGAGATGCCCCAAGTCGTTTAAGGAGATGGCTTCAGTGCCGCTCCGAGTCGTTTAGATTTGCTCAGTGATTCGTTCAAAAGAAAAGATCGACAAATATGAATCAGTTGAATTCGTTCACTCAAAAGATTCGTTCAAAACTGCAGATCTGTTCACGAACGAAACACCTCTACGGCTCAGAAGCACGCCATGATTCTAATCACGCTGTGTGGCTAGGAAGCTCACTGCAACTTTGCAGCTCTACTGGATCAAGAATTGTTTGTCTAATAATGAATAAGACAAACAAATAAGAATTGTTTGTTGTGGTGGCCTTACATTTTTATTGTCCTGTAACTTTAAGTGTAGTAAGTTACCTATTAAACTGTCAAATTTTCATAAACAAGCCCTAGAATCCTGGAAGATTGCTTTTAAACATAATTTCTACCCGCACACGTGTATTCTTTGGAACAATGAAAATATATTGTCTAGTAACAAATCACTTTGTTTCATTGAATGGGTGAATCAAAATATCTTTTTTGTTTCTGATTTGTTCAATTCTTCCTTTTCTGATTTTGTGTTTTTGAAAGGCGCATCAATCTCATTAAGAGATTTTAATAAGGTGACTAAAAGTATCCCTGTCAGTTTAAAAACTTTGTTTAAAGCGCATTTATGTTATGGCTGTGTAAACAACCATTCTCCTACACTTGCATTTAATGGTGTTTATGTATTAGATAAAAAATGCAATAACTTTTTTATTAGAAATGTTCTTTCTTCAATTTTTTATTAGAAATGCTCTTTCTTCAACTCCAGGATGACCCTCTAAAGCACAATCTAAATGGAGGATTTGTTATCCGAACTCTGAATTTAAAAACTTATGGACCTTTCCTCACAGGCTATTTATCCCAAGTAAAATTAAAGAACTCCATTTCAAAATTGCTCATAGATACTACCCTTGTAATTTATTTTTTAGCAGATTTTCTGAGAATATATCCTCAATGTGTTCATTTTGTAATACTGATGAAGAATCTATTCTACATATGTTTTATCATTGCCCATTCACCAAGTCTTTTTGGGTAGAAGGTACCATGTTAATTTTTTCCTGCTGTAACAAAATGATAGAAATAACAGAATCTATCATTTTTTTTGTCAGATTTTCATTCCAAGGACATTAATCTGGAACATATTGTTTTATTGCTTTGTCTTCTGGGTAAATTTCACCTTCATGAAGCCAGAACCATTCATTGCAAACCTATCTTTAGAATGTTTTCATCTGACATAGAGTCCCTTTTTACTTCTTTTAAGAATGTCAAATTCTTTGAACTCAAAGGCTTCTAAAACTTTTAACATTCTTGAGTCTATTGTAAGCTATCTTTAAAAGACTTTCCTTTCTTTTTCTTCTTCTTTATCATTGGTATATTTTGTTAATTTGTGTAGCTTGTCTAACTTCATGTGATGATGTCCGTTAGCCCCATGTTACTTCATAACTGTTGTTATTCTTTCAATTGCAATGAAATAAAAATTTAAAAAAAAACTTTGCAGCTCTGCCAATCTACTGTAACACAATATCATAACATCAACAAACATAGGCTAATCCAACGGTTATCATCCAATATAATTAAACAGCCTGAATTTACTTTTCCATGGTGTGTTAGATGCTTTATTTATTATGTTTGAGCAGCTGATTTCCAGGCACAAACTGCACCACAGGCAACTGTAAATGCAAAAAAAAAGTGATGACAGTGCTAATCATTTCTGCTTCATTATACAAACAAACTCTCAAATAGTTCTGTGCTCTGAGCGGTAAATTTACTGGACATGACCATGGTGAACGTTATTTTCTCCAAGTACAACATGTTCCTGGATCAACATCCTTGTAGATCCTGGAACAACATTCCTATCAACCAATCAGAATTGAGGGATAACTTTTCAGGAAATATCTGTTTTAGGCTTATAATCAGGGTTAGGTGCTTCTACACCCTTGTTAATCAGCTATCATTTCACACTGATTTTAGGAATAAATTGTGGGTAGGGTTAGGTTTAGGGGTAGGTTGGGTTAAGTCTATATTTATGGACAGTTATGTTGATCCAGGTCAGGAACATGTCTTACTTGGCAAAATCACGGCGACCCCATGACCATATAGCAAGTATTTGGACTGTAAATGGATAAATATTAACCATTTCATCTTTCAATAAATATTTTCTTACCAGAACATAACCTAAATATTCACTCAGAACGCTACGTTTCCCCCACTCGCTATTTCTATGGAAACTGCGCCCCCTTCTGTTTAAATCATGCACCAGCATCTGAAAATGTAATATAGATGAAACAAATATTTTTTCGTTATCAAAATAAATTATATTTTTACTGTTTAAAGTGCATCCCTGGGTGGTAAATGCCTTTTTTATAATGATATTTGCAATTTCAATACAGAAAGAAAAGAGCCTAATGCTCAATCATGCTTCGTTCAAATAGTGCAATCTGGTTAATAAATTGCTGATATATCTGTAAGGGTGGCTATGATTTCTAAATTGAAATTAGTTACAAAAGGACACATAAAAGAGATAATAATCTGCCTTTTAAACTATGAAAATAGACTAAAGAGATTGTTATTTATACTATAAGGACTCACACTGTAAAGAAAAATCTTGAAATAGCACAGCATTATCTCCTCTCGAGGACTCCAATCCTCCCTCCTCAGGTATTATAAGTGACCCCTCTCACCCATTTCAAAGTGTTTTTATTTTTTTTGCCATCCTCCAGAAGGCAGAAGAGTAAAAACACTATGAAATAGGTGAGGGATCACGTATAATACCCGAGGAGGGAGGATTGGAGTCCTCAAGAGGAGATACTGCATGTGCTATTTTCAGAATTATTCTTTTTCTTCCAGCATAAAAAAAAAGTTTGTTATCTAAGGAAGTGTTTTACATAATATCATCCACTTCCACATGCACTACTTATAAACCTTCCCCCCAAATATAGATTTTTTTGTAGGTGAGGGATCACGTATAATACCCGAGGAGGGAGGATTGGAGTCCTCAAGAGGAGATACTGCATGTGCTATTTTCAGAATTATTCTTTTTCTTCCAGCATAAAAAAAAGTTTATGTTATCTAAGGAAGTGTTTTACATAATATCATCCACTTCCACATGCACTACTTATAAACCTTCCCCCCAAATATAGATTTTTTTTGCCTTATATTTAATTATTATTTTCTACATACCACACCTACTTGACAGCTGTCTATTTCCCCCTTTTTTTGTAAGTGTTCTTGGCCCTTTCAGTGAAGCAATATTTTGTTCTCCCTCACATGTTAAAGTGCAGAATTTCAATGATGTGTGAACTTTATTAAAGGAATGGTGCGTACTAGCAAATGCTACACATAAGTTTAGAAGATTCAAGGTACTTCAAATACAATTTAGTTGTTTCAATTGTGTAAAAGGTATCAACATGTAAAATAAGACTTCTGAAAGTCATGCCAAATGCGGAGAAGATTCTGTGGGTTAAACCCGTTCACTATAATGCGCTTGGCAAAAGTGCACCTTTCATACTTAAGTCTGCGCACCTCAAAAAGATTACTAAGCCCCAGAAATGTTGTTGCATAAATTGGTTTTACACCCAGTACGTGAAGGCACAACCCCACATAGACATCTTCCAGTGGAATTGGTTGCACAAATCTAGAGGCCCATGATATTTTTCTGGCCAGGTCAGTAGAAAAGACATATGCAGCTCCAGACACATATGGAGGATACCAGGTGTCTGGGTAAAGATCCTCTGAGATATACCATTTGTTGAAGCTGTCCCTGTGAGGAACAGCATCTGAGATGACGGATCCAGAGATGTAGTCTTTCCTGGAGGACTCGCCCTGGTCATGCAGGTAGTCCACCAGGTAACGTACATTGAGAAAGATATCTGCATCGATCTTCATGGCATACCAAGCACCCCGGCAGTAAGTGGCTATCCAGTTCATAATCATCATCGTCTTGATTGTGAGATTATGGTAGCTGTCCACAAAGTCCATTTGAATGATATCCCCATATTCCTTGCTCTCCCTCTCCAGGTGCTCCTGCAGTACTGGGTCACGTTGTGCGGGCTGACCAATGACAAACAAATGCAAAACGGTCACACGAGGAATCAAGCCATCTTGACCCCATGTCCTTCTAATAGCAGTCCTCGCCTCTGTGTCTTTGAGAGTCACTGGGATCATAAGAACCAGGAAAGGACTCTTCTTCTCACACAGTTCGGGTTGGTTCAAAATGAATCTGTATGTTGACGGTGAGATCACGTAGAGCTCTTTGGGTGTTGGAGTCTTCTTCGGAAGTATTGTTCTGTTAAAAACGAGGATAGCTACAAATGTTATTAACCCAGCTACAGCAAAGTACGTTAAAAGTTTATATCGCGATTGTTTTCCCATATTTGAGCAAAATAAACTGCATCACTATCGTAAGGGAAAGTCACAAAACTTAAATGTCGTGTTCGCGGTGTTGTGTCGAAGTCTGTTCCTCCTGTTTCCCCTTAGTTTAGCGTTTCTGCTACGCGTACGCAAACAGCGTACAGAGCAAGCGCGTGTGCTCGTTCTACTGTTTCCGCTTATCTTTTTGTCATCTTATAATATTTACTATATTTTTAGTTATTGATCACATGATCGATTTGAAGGTTTGGAAGGCTTTGCCGACTGCGCTGTATATGTATGAAATATAAATTCAAATAAATGTACAACGTAATGTACCTCTAACAA